TTCCTGTTGTTTATTATTGAGCATATGTGCACAAAATATCGATTAGATATGGTCCTGGTTGTCGGTAATTATTTTAAAGTGATGACAATGAGCCTAACGAGGGCGTCATAACCGAAGGGGCTTAATCTCCTGCTTAGCACATGTTTTCTATCAGGTCCTCTTGTTTGTCCTCCCTTTGCATTACCCCGATTTTAAAACGCTTAGAGCAACTATTAATCTGAAACCGATCTCTGTAATTTGTTTCAAGATTACGATTATATCCGTCTGTATTTTTTCCATGTTTGTCCGGCACATTTAAAGAAAAATAAGGGCCTATCAAATCGGTAAGTAGAGCTATAAATCGAGCGTAATGCTCGCACGTGGTAGTTAGACAAAGTGGTTATTATCCGTTGTGGCACGTGGCAGACCTTGTTACGGCATTCAATTGGGCATTGTACCCCGTTGTCCACATCCACAACGCAGCTGTTTCAGCTTCCAACCTTTGTTTTATCACACAAGTACAAATAACCATTCTGTTTCAGCGGGATTTTTGAAAAAAAGACACGAAACTGGGAATGTCGGGGCTGGGAGGGTGAGTGAGGGCGGCTGCGGGAGGTTTTTTCAATTATAAACTCTATTTGGCTTAGCACAGATTGTTGTGTAATCAGTTTAGCTCGTTACGGGCCGCGAGCACTCGACAGTGAACCACAGCGAGGAACAATCTAACTAAAGCAAACCTAAACCTTAACTGGAGTAGAATGATTGCATTTTCGAACCGCTCCGCTTTATTCTTACATCGTTATTCACAAATATTACTTCCGATGCGATGCGAATTATCTCTTAGTTAAAATTCCATCTTTATTTAAATTCGTGTCAAAATCAATCGTTGCTGTGCTAATTAAATTCGGTTTTTTAACCATCGACTGGAACATATCTACTTATTATACCCCATTATGGTCGATTTAAATTAAATGGAAATGTAATCTTTTACGTATAGCTATTTATTTTCCCCCGACGCATATTTAATACTTAATCTTTTTTAAAAAGAGCTTCTACAAAAATGAATAAAAGCATTTAGAATCGAACTCCTCATTAAATTTTATAATTTTTATTTACAAGCAAAGCTTCTCGACAAACTGCACTTTTGTATTTTTATTCATTCGCCGTAAGTACTCTCAAGAATTATTTCTCTCTCGATTATTCAAAAACGACAACCAGATCCAAATTATATTTAATACCAATTTATTTTGCACAACAAAAAATAATCATTATTTAATGATTCATCTTAAACTCATTAAATTTTAGCATTTCTTTTTGCTACAAACGCAAATATTTATTTTGATCAAAGATTTCACACTGCATTGATTGCAATTCAAATAAAGCGCCAAAGAGCAGAGCTCTCTAAAATCGAAACCGCGCAACTAGTGGCTTCATTTTTACAGGTTCCTATTTTAGTGGGAAATTTGACGAAGTTATTCCATGCCAAAATTATCACTTTTACATATCATTGTTAACGAGTTTCGTAAATTTGAGATATATTTTTTCAAAAACAGAGATGTACAAAATTAAGTACCACGTAACAAAAATTTTTTAAGAGTTAGGCAGAAAATTCTAAATATAAGTATAAATTTGGTGCACAGAATCGAAAAGAAAAACAAAAATTAAAATTACAAGCAGCCCCTGAAGACGTTCATCTAAAAACTTTATTTTCGTTTATTAAACCATCATGATTTCAACTGATGTCTCAATAGAGGAAACAAATTCCTTCAAAAAAAATTACTACATTATGTGACAAGTAGTTTTTATACATATTTTTATTGTATTGTATATTGGGCCCTCATTTCAACTTAGCACTCCATATAAAATTTTGCCAGTCCGCCCCTGATTTTCTGGAGGTAAATGATTAAAAATAAAACCGCTTGGTTCCATACTTTATATTCACCCTGTATGTTTACGTCACTGCAAGTTACAAAACAAAAAAAAGGAAAAATTTGTTAATCCTTAAAAAATTGTGTTTTTAAACATGTCTCAGATTTTTTGACTTTTGCCGAGATTTTGGTCGATTTTTGGTACCCGGAATTATWGGCGCTAGCCTCTTGTATTGGGTATTGCTAAAAAGCATTTTAATTTTTTATCATATTTAAAAAATATCAGTSTTCTACGATAAATAGTTATGCAGAAAATTTGTGATAAAGTGAAAAATATCAAAAATATAAATCCGACTATAACTTCAAAACTATTAGAAATTTTGCAGTTTTCTTGACGTCAATCGATTCCCCGAAACATTTTACATAGGTTTACGTCAAAATATTATATCATTTAAATACAGTTTTGCCGCATTTAAACCCCCCCTTAAGAACTAATGTTTTTGAACATGTCTCAGATTCAATTTAAACCTACCTTATCCGATAGATTTTGACGCGCTGACTACGAATTTGCCAAGCATTTTGAGCTATCTTTTCTAGTTTCGGCGTAATCGGCGTTTAAAAATTCTGTTACTTTGCAGACCTATGTTTATTAAGATTTTTTTTGCTTGTTTTGGTCCGTACTACTACCTCCTAAAATATTTCTCTTTTTAACACCCTGTGTACATTTCATAATACTTTTACTTTATTATACTTTATATTACTTACTTTTTGATTACTTATATCTATTTCACTAATACACTCATGTAAATCATTTGTGTTATATAATTAACAATAATTAATAAAATAAAAATTTCATTTATATTACTTTTAACTTACCTTTTGTTATATTATTACTATTAACTTTTACACTATTTTCACTTTTGTAGATAATTTTAGCATTTCTTTTTGCTGCAAACGCAAATATTTATTTTGATCAAAGATTTCACACTGCATTGATTGCAATTCAAATAAAGCGCCAAAGAGCAGAGTTCTCTAAAATCGAAACCTCGCAACTAGTGGCTTCATTTTTACAGGTTCCTATTTTAGTGGGAAATTTGACGAAGTTATTCCATGCCAAAATTATCACTTTTAAATATCATTGTTAACGAGTTTCGTAAATTTGAGATATATTTTTTCAAAAACAGAGATGTACAAAATTAAGTACCTCGTAACAAAAAATTTTTAAGAGTTAGGCAGGTTTTTAAAATTCTTAATTCATAATTTTACTGTTCTCACACAAATTTCAGAACGAATGTGTAAAAAATAGCTGGAAAAACATTTTTTTTGAGATTTTTGAGATTATAAATTTCCATAGAAATTAAATAAAAAAATTACCAAATACCGTCATTAATTTATTTGCTCTAAGTAAAACACATAATTTTCAATAACTTATTAACATTTATTTTTAAAAAATCAACATTTAAACACAAATTTTTCGGTTGAAGAATATTTTATTCTATCTTTTAATATTGGGACAAAAGTGTGTAAGTTTTGCGTTCCTTTTATGGAGTTGACTGGACTAAAACGATCTTTTAAAAACCGCAATGTTTTTCAAATTGTTAATTAGACATATCAGATAAAAAAAGTATAAAACCAAACGTTTTTTGCTTAAACTATATACAGGTGCCCCAGAACTCGCGCCCCAGAGAAAAATGCCATGTAACGTAAGATACTAGGAATATGGAAAAAATGTTAAAAAAATTCTATCTATAAAAATTCGAAGTCATGAAAGTTTAAATTTTGCACTTTGACACTATTTATTTCTGTTGTAAAAGTAATTTTCCAAGTTTTTTTGCTATAAGCTATTAAAAGAGGAAACAAGGAAGCTGTATTCTAAATTGTAACTCTGTTCAATGTTATTTGTGGCTTTTATTGGCAAAATTTTTGTCCCTTTATTAAATGATTGTAAAAAAACATATACAAGATCATCAGTATCATTAAATAGATATAAAAAAATGTCTAATGTCAAAAAATAAATGTCAAAATTTTTTAAACAATTTTTTAATGTTCCTGATATCTTACCTTACTTGAAAATTTTCTCTGGGACGCGAGTTCTGGCGCACCGTGTATTTGTTTATTTTTTAACTAATTATGAGTAGTCAAGTAATATAAAAATGTGACGTTTTATCGAGAATCAATAAAATGTTCCAAATTTTTTTCGTTTTTGAATTCTGCAAAATTTTTATTTTCAATAGCAACCCAATGTAAAATCTTTTCTTTTCAAAGGCTCTAATTGTGATATGAAGTATACAAACCATTTACTTAAATTTTATTCAATTTTCATCGAAAAAGTGTTTATATATAAGTTGCCAAGCAAAGAAACTCAAAAACAACAAAATTTGATTTTCAAAATGCGATCACATTTTTTATAGCACTTTAATTTTTATTGATTATTAGAAAGCAAATAATACAAAAACTCCCAGTTCCATGCTTTTTGTTCATTTTGTATGGCAAAACGTATTAATTGAAATATTTGACATAATGACAATTGACATTTTTATATTGACATAAATTTGATATCCAAAATTCCGTGTCCGCAATTGTACGTACCAACCTTTAATTCAAAAAATTGTTTTAATGCGACCTGTGATACAACTTTAAAAACTTAAATTTACCGGATTTTCAAAATTTAGTCTTAGTTTTTGTTTTAACGAGGTTTTTTCAGTGTGGCAAATACCTCAGTGAGTGAATTAATGTTAATACATTGAACCGTAACAATTATTTCTTACTTAAAAACGACAGTTTATGGCCAGTGGTGCCAAAGTATTTCACAAAATGCATTGTGACACCGAAATAGAAAAATAAAATTTAATCAGTCTTCAAAATTAATACCAAAATCGAAATTTAGTTTATGACACAATGTAAAAGTGTTGTGTGCTTCACAAATTTTTATGAAAATATTTTGTTGAATAAAAATTTGAAGGGCGAAGTTGTTTTTGGTGGGAGCGGGGTGTAATCAAGCCCGTTTAATATGACACCTTTTTTATTAATGCACAAATACGGTAACATTTAAATTGTATACATGTGTATTAACAATATCTCATTATTTGGTAACATGCTATACTTTAAAAAATATATGGCCAGTACTAAATTCAAGTTTGAGTAACAGTGCAGTGAAAAAAACAATGACATTTATTTTTAGAAAATAGATAACAATTCGTTTTGTCTTAAATAATAATAAAAACATTTACCTGTATTGTATAAGTAAAGAAGAGATCAATTAGAGTGATGACTGAGGACAATTATTAGAGATTAACAAGATTTGAAAATTTGGATTAGAGGGTAAAAAATAACGGTTTGATCTAATAACAATGTTCTTAATTGGTTATACTTATATTAACTTTTATATCTAATGTATTGTCATGAACCAGATAAGTAAGTACATTTAAAACTATTTGTTATGCTCCGTATTAACCATCTATGAGTATTCAAAAGCAGAAACTTTAGTAAGTTTGAGTAGAGGCTTTTTTCGATTAATTAACAGAAAAAGTGACAGTCAAAACAGAGCACAACACACAGCCGAACAATATCTGGTATTAATTTTCACACAAATATAAGGAATACATCTATAGCATGTCAAATGACAACGTTAAACAATTGTAGTGATTCGGCCAAAACTTTATCAGTACTCAGCGAAAAATAAACGAAAATTAGTGCATTTTCTAAAAAGCGGCACCCAACAACAAACTGGTGGTTGTATATTATCCTTTGTTATAATTAATAAAGTTTCAGCAGAAATCTATCAATCTACATCAAAATTGTTCTTATTTTAAGACATTGAGTTTTCAATTTCATGCAATTAACATTTTGGCAAGTTGTGATTTGTGATAGGTAGAGGCGATAAAATCAACTCGGTTTTAAGTTTCAGGTTCAAAGCATATAGTTTTCTCTCAAAATTCAACTTTACCATAATTACATCTCTTATTTTTTATAAAATTTAGCCTCTGTAACTGTAACATTATAAGCTTTCACAATATAAACAATTATATAAACTAACTAGATTATTATTAAAATAACTAAGCTAAAAGCACTAAATATGTACAACTAAATTTAATCTTGTACGCAACGTTTTTCAACTAATTACAATTAAATGACTTTCAACTGCACGCACCAATCACACTCGCTCTATCTAAATAGTTAAAATATCATAAATAAAAATTTACAGTACGTTATATACAATGGAAATAAATCATTTGAGTAAAAGGAAGATTTAAATAAGTTTTCAGCTTTGCGCTAAGGTAAATGCCGCACGTTTGACTACTACTTCCTAATATGGCATCTCACTTTTCAGAGTGCAGTTGAATACACATGAAATAAATAAATACTTCAAGGCAAGTAACATAGTAAATGGCATGCAATATTTATTTACTAAACAAAGATACCAGGGGTTGTTGTTCAATTGAAGTATTATTTTATTTAACCCGTAACTCATGGTAATGGCACATCAACTTTCACATAATTTACTGGAAAGTAACCTGTACGCCCGTGGAGACTACCCTCGAACCAATTCTCGTCGATTTTATTTAACAGAGTGATCACATCGTTTTCCTGAATATCAAAACTTGAAAAAAAGTTGCAACATTTTTCACATTACCTTAAAACCCAATTCGCCGGGATTTTCAGGATCAAAATCGTACAGCGCTGTACAACAAGGCTGTCGGTTCATTGGTGTTCTCGCTGGTGATTTCATTGGGGACGGCAGTGGAGACGCTAGTAACAAAACACAATCGCGTTAGAAAAAATCTCAACGAATAATTCACCAAAAAACAAATGTGACCCAACAGAAAAGAAGCAACAGACAGAGAAGTTACCATTAGCTGAATGTTGTCCTGGAAGTAACTCAAGTTGATGTGGCTTGTGTTGTGGAGAAGACACTTGCGAAGAGCCTAACAACACATCTTTGTCAGAACAACAGCTCAAGCACTTTAGAAACATCGGTATTCGAGCAACAAGGGACATATCACCGAATCTAAGTAACCACAAAAAATAAATAAACGCATTGATGTGTCAATGGATATTTTCGTATGGAGTCATTGGCATTTGGCCAATCATTACGTTTCTACGCTTCATTTTTTACACCAAAGCACAACAAACACCGAAACACAACTTGCAATTGCTGAAATGAATCATGATTCGAAAACCGACAATGACATGTGTAAAGTGTCAGGAGAGGACGGGAGAGAAACCAACAAAACCAGTAAAGAAAAACAATTGGGTCACAAATCTTAAAATAATTAAACTAAACAAACAAAAAATACCTTGGGGGAAGCTCCAAGGGTCGAATGGATCGGATTGTTTTATAGGAATGGTTTTGGGTGCGGGTCGTTTAAACTGGTGGCCACTATTTGTAAAATTGTGATGATTTGTGTTCATATTGTCGTGATGATGAATACCATTAACTCCATCTGATACGCCTTCTATGTGTAAGTCTGCGAGGGATTTCGGTACGAATTCGACTTTGGGACGATTTGCGGCCTCTTCTTTCCTAAAATTTTCATTATTATTAACACAATAACCAAAACTGTAACCTACTTTTCCAATAGGACTTCATTCAAGTGTTTAAGGATCTCCGTACACTGCACGTGGTACTCCAACAATCCTTCAGCAAAAGTGGCTAATTGTGAAATTTGTTCTACCTAAAACTCCGGTTTAGACAGTGTGTTTCACATTTTTGCCCACTTACATCATTTTCTAATAAATTGAACATTCCCATTTGAGCAAGATGCAGAGATTCTGCAAACTTATCTTCCGCAGTCTTAATCTCGTCATCTGAAATATTTTTTGCACCTGTCATTGGTAATACAGGCAAGGTGCGACAATTAATACCATGCGGATACTGTCAAAATAATAATTCAAATTAAAATTAAGCACTACAAAAACCAAAACCACTTCTGTTCTAAATTAAATCAAAAATCTAGCAAGTTCAGGGGGAGGAACATACCGCAGTGTCCCTGTGTTTTGACAGGGCTGGAATAGGGGCTAAGACCCAGACCCCCTTTAGTTGCTATAAACCATGCTTTTGATTATTACATGCCCCCTTATTTAGTAAAAAATCTCCCCTAAATGATTTACCTTTAGCTTGTCGTCTTCGTTTACAGTCGAAATCCAATCGACGCCCTTGTAATTTTTTCCTGTGATGCATAACTTCCTTAAGGTCCTTTGTTTGTAAATGGTGGAGTGGTTCAAGGAAATTTTGTTTAATATTATCATCAAGAGAGTATTTAACATCGGCCATTTGTTTAAGTGATTCCCCCATTTCGACTAGAGCATTCCCGAACATACTATCATCCCCTAATTTGCGTCCATAGGTCAACATGCAGTCTCCTAAGACACCCTCGGGCTGGGGGTAGGTGTTTGATTTCGCTTGTCCACTCAATTTACTAATACCCTTAACAGCGGCCATTTTCGCGCGCGCTGTTGGATTCGGTTGCAAAAATTCTTTTGTTTTTATTTGTAATTCTTCGACTAATTCATACGTGACGTCCGTTTTCTATTCAATCAAAACCAATCAAATATTGACACGTGATTGATTCTCACACTTACCCTTTCCATATCCATAAAGTCCAAATCCAGTTTAGTGCCTTCAGCACCACCCATCTTCTCCGTGACATACTGATTGCACTTATTTATCTGTTTCTTAAGTCCAGCAAACGCCATTTTTACTCAATTCGTCCACCTGCGTCAAAATTCAATTACAACTCTGTGTAGGTTGCTTGACCTACTCCTAATTTAATTACTTAACGCAATAATAAACCCCTTTACTGAGAATTTATACACGCCTGGTTATCAAAATTTAACACACAATATCGCATTACTGATAACAGAACTTGTTTTGCATCAATTTTGTTTAAGTTGTTTAAGTAAATACAAATGACAAGTCCTTCCATCAAGCTAGCGTAGAATAATCCGCGATAAATGTCAAATTCTTTTTTGCAATAAATTTTGACACAAAACCGTCGCAAACACCAAAAACATCTCGAAGAATATTTTGAACGGTTTCGAACCCGCTTAGAACAGAATTTTAATTTTTATAAAATATTTTTTGACATCTAACATACGGACTGTCATGCGACATACGTCCACGAAACGGGTTTTTTCTATATACATTTTATTAATGACATTTGACAAAACAGATCAAATTGCATCAGTTTCGGTGAAATACGTTAAATCTACATCAATTTCTCACTTATAATTACACGAGGGCTTTTTTATTTTAATGAGAATTTTGTTTTCTGGCAATTTAACGAAAAAAACTGCTTCTGAATAAATTACGAGTCCGTACGACGAGTAATTTTTTCTGGCAGTTTTTTGAGTTGAAATCCTAAAGGAAACAAAACTCGAATTAAAAATGTCAAGTTTTCTTCGTAAAAAAAAAGCTTGAGTGTAATTCGGAGACAATTTAATGAATACGTAAATCACTAAATTAACAAATAAGGTGAAAATTAGTTTATTTAATTTAATGAAAAGTACAATTATTAAAAATACAATTCAGAAGTTTCAAAAGTTAGGTTCCGTTTTGTCGCTGTCATAGTGACAAAAACACCGCGGCTTATGAGATTTTTAGTGTATTTAAATTGTCACTAAAAAACAATTAGTGATGCGTAAAATGTTGCCAAAAACAGTGTTAAAATCATTTTTTCTATTTTGCGTCTAAAAGAAAGCTTATTTCGATTCCAAAACCGATGCTTTAATTTGGGCTGAAATAGACTAGTACAATTTACTTTCTAAAAGTTGGTAATGGTGATTTTCGGCTTTTAGAGCGATTGTGTGCCTAAAACATTTGCAATATTCATTGTTAATCCAACAAAATTTTGAAAAATACTTGAGACTTGACACAAAAATCGAACTTTCAAACTTTGTGACATTTATTACAAACCACAACCTTATTGGAGCAAAAGTTCCTAAATTTTGAAAAATTGACTCTTCTGTTAAAAAAGTACGTAAAAGAAGCAAAATAGAAAAAATAGCATAAACCTGAACTCGTTCCACAAAACTTGCCTTACGAAGCGCGTTTCTGACAGGGACATTTTCTGACGTAATTTTTAAATAACCCCCACGCACCCCCAACTTTACAATTTTAAATGGCACTACCCAAATAAAAGCTATTTTAGCAGGGTTTTCAAAACTTTTTACCAAAATTGAATCAGACCATCCATTTATGAGATAACAAGGTGTTCTAATAAAAACAAACCATCTTGGAAATTTGCAAAAAAAACCGAAACAGGTTAATTTTGTTTTTTAAAGGAACATTTTTTAATTTTAAAAGCACCTTCACTAACCCTTTAACCTTTATGCTAATAGAGCACCAACCACTACTGATACAAAAAATGAAAACACTTTAAATTTTTTTTCCAAAATGAAATGATTTTTATACATTCATAAAATATCGGCAAAAAAACTAATCTTTCAACAGAAAATGTCTTTTTTAAAAACAAAATTAACCTGTTCCGGTTTTTTTTTTGCAAATTCTGTCTGGTTCGTTTTTATTAGAACACCTTGTATCTCATGAATGGATGGTCTGATTCAATTTTGGTAAAAAGTTTTGAAAAGCTTGTTAAAATAGCTTTCATTTGATGTGCTACAAGTAAAGTAGTGCCATTTAAATTTTTAAAGTTGGGGTAAGTGGGGGTTAGAGGGTTACTGGAGGTGATTTAAAAATTACGTCAAAAAATGTCCCCCTCGGAGACAAAACCGACCTGTTTCGGCGTTTTTGCAAAGTCCTTTTAGTTTCTGAGATATTCTGGGTGGCTCGTTTTCATTGTACTATTGTGTAACTGAAAAAGCACTGAAATAAAAAAAAAATCTTTATTTTAAAATCGCCATGACAACGTAATTGCTGACTAACAGCATTATTTCCACGTGGAGAAAACTGAATTAACTGAAATGTGTTTAGAATAATTTTTATCAAATCTCTTGATCGGAATTGGAAAAAGAAAAGAAAGGTTTCAAATTAGCATCGACTTGTTCCATTAATGATTTACCAAGGAATAGCACATTAAATTTGAGCGCACGAAGAAAGACGCTATAAATATATAAATTGCCCCATTATTCCTTTCCTTACATTTTCTTGAAAAAAAAGGGAGTCAAAATTAAACAATTTAATCATTGTACAAATTTACTTGTTACATAATTTTTGATGCAAGCCACGTGATACGAAAATAACCGTACAGCGGGAGAAAAAGTGAATTAAAGAACGACATTTTCTGCATTCCCTTCATTCGTTTGACCTAATTTTCTTCACCTTGACACATTTTCACACAAATATAATAAATTGGAAAAAAGTAAATATTGTAGGAAAAATATTTGGTAATTTAGCTCAAGTTTAGGGTGTTTAAAATAAATAAAACTTTGTGTATAGTTGTGTTTATTGAATCGTGGAATAGAAAGAAAACAATACAGTAATGACGGGTCATTGTGGTGTTAGGGGTGCAATACATACCGGAGAAATAATAAAATATTGTCAATCCGGTAAAACGCACAATCGTCCAAAATCACGAAATAATTTCACTGATTTGAAATAAAATTCATCCGCCAACTCCGGACTAATACAAAGTATCGACTCCGGGCATTGAATAGATAGCGCGCACAAATTCTGCGCACATATCGATAATACATACGGTATAAGACAACACCGACGCATTGGGGTAAAAGAAAAAAATGATTGAAAAGCGCGAAAAACGAACTCTGTCATTTGAGTTTAAAAATTTTACATTTTAATATCGCAATGCGTGGGAGTCGATGTGATACTCCCACAAAGATCGGTTTGGTGCAACGATCGACAAAACGGCAAAGGCCACACCACTGATATGGAAACACTGGAAATCGCCTACGGACGCCCACGCGAATTTCCCAGATTTAAGGAGAAAAAATCCGAGTTTTGATCAATTCACGAATTTGGCTTCTTGGGACGCAAATAATTCACGTTCAGCTCTACGACTTCAGCAATTTATTAAATTATTTGACAATTGCGTCAACTGAGCAATGCAACAAGCTGATATTAATTAACGGGAGAACGAGAAGAGGCAGAATTTTTAATTAAATCGGCGAGTTCATTTCAAAACGGAAGTACATTACTCGAGAGAAATAAACACATTTAAGGGAAAAGAAGATGTTGGCCCAATTCCATTGAACTTGAGAAGCATTATAAATGTCAGTAAACATTATCAAATTTGATCAAATTACAAATAAAACAAGCCGGTTGAAGGGAAAAAATGAAAAGACGCATTTGACTGAAGTAATCCCGAACTTAATTTGTCAACGAGGGTTGATGTGGTAATTCACCCACTTCCTGACAATCGCCGCGAAGGGCGGAAACGTATCAATTGTCAATTGACAATTTCAAATCGCGCCACTTTTGGAGGGAAATTACCAGTGATAAGATTCCCACCGGTGATAATGCGATATTTACGCCTTAGTGACTTAATGAAAGTAAACCACTTTCTAAGTATAATTAATAATTCAAAAACAATTGCATAAGTGAGGCAATCTTTGTTGTCTATGTAATTGGACATAAAGTTTATATTAAGCAAACAAACATTTCCCTGGCATTTATTTATTGTAATTATGCCATACATCAAGGTGAAATAAATAAATCAAGACCGTACTAGTTGGTGCAATTTGAAGACCAAAACCGTCACCAAACAATCACAATTTTATATAATAATGACATTTCATTTTTTAAATTAATCCAGTTAACTGTTTAAACAAAAGAACGTTAAAAACATGTGTCTGTGACCCACACGAAGGCAATCAAACAATTAAAACCCCAAAAACTCACTTACCCGAAATAATTTTTTCTTGTTGATTTTCACGATTTTAATGTTGGTAAATAAACGGATATTTGGCAACGATTAAAAAACACCTGCAAACTGTCTAACGATTGCAATTTTACTGAATGAATGAATGAGCCGATTCTCAGCTGTCACATCACAAATTACAGGAATCTTTCTTTTGACACTTTGAAATTGTTGATACGCTAACCACTTCCACCACGTTGACAGTTTTATAACCAAAAAATTATTAATCATAATCAAAATGAGTAAGTTTTCAAAAACGTTAATTGTTTTTTGGTGACGTTAAAGTTTCAGCTGTAACAACCGGAATTTCTTTCGTCTTGGCTTCAATTAGTTCAGTTCTAGTCTTTTCCGGGATGCAAATGTACAAGCCTTGGCTTAGTTCGTCTCAGCTTCATACGCTTCTAGGGGGCTATCTGGGGTCGATTTTTTTTGTCTTGTCACTGACGGCTGTGGGAAATTTAGAAACTTGTGTTTTTGGCCGGTCTTTCCAGGTTAAGGTCTTCCCAGAAGGTAATTACTGTTAAAACAAAACTCGATTTTATTGGTTTATTTTTAGTACTGTTTTGTCTATTTTTGGCCTTGTTTACTTCTGCTACAGTACATAGAGTGTCTGCAACTTCATGGTATAAAATTTCTGCTTGATTCACACGAATAATCGATTTTTTCCAGTCTTTTAATCTCGCTTTGTGCCCTATTTTACATGAACAAACACTCCCAGAAAGTGCATGCAATCGCAGCCCCCTCAATCCCCGTCCAAACCGGCAAAAAGAAGAAGAACGTGTCATAGAATTAATCTAGGATCTTTTGTATTTTTTTTTCCAATAAAACACCAAATAAAAAACGGACTTGTATTTAACATTAGTGCAAACATAGCCATATAAAAATTCCATGTAAATCGTTTAAAATAAATAATTAATCATAAAAATAGTAACAACATTAGGATTATTAAAACCACTATAAGTACTATCAGTACTGTGACGTTATTTGTAAAAAAGCTATGATGGTTTATACAACGCCAATCGATAATGTTGGTCTCGACGGGGCTATTCCCCTCGCTTCGTGTAATGCGCAATTGGTGGACAATCATAAATTCAACCTGTAATTAAAACACCACATCAAATTACGTTAAAACAGAAAATGGTTTATACTAACTTAAGACTCCCGGGGACACTCGGGACGCGCTCCAATGAATTTGCCACTTGTAAACTGTAGGGCCCCAACGACTGGCTCATATTCATCGAGTTTTGCGAGCCGTAGAGCAAATCATCGGGTAAGGCCGTGCGTCGCCTGATTTTGTGCGAGGGGGCTTCAGGAACCAATAAACTAAACAAGTTGAGTTTGTCATTGCATATCATAATAGAGGGTGTGTTAGAAACCCAGAGAAAAATTTCAAGTAAAATAAAATACCAGGAACATGGATTTTTTTTATCCATCTGTCAAAAAAATTTGACATTTATTTTTTGACATTTGACATTTTTTTACTCTATTTCCATATGTAAACAAAAATTTTGACAATAAAAACCACAAATAACATTAAAGAGTTACAATTTCTTTGTTTATCTATCACGTGATAGCTCCAACTCTCTCAACCCATGTAAAAATTAATTTAACTTACTCTCTCGCAGTAGCAATTTTGGTCATGCTAAAAGTGAAAAACTGCAAAATGCGGAGACTAAGCAAAGATAGAAAACGAAAATTTAATCAAAAAATTGTAATAAAGGCAAATCTGAGTTACCAATTTCGAAACATTTTTGAATGAAACTAAAGTCTGAAGTGATTGGTTTCTCCATGGCCGACCTTAAACGGACCAATCATATCGTTGCACTAATTTTTGAATGAATCCAAAAATCTAAAGTGATTAGTTTTTACATTAAAATGATGGCCGACCTTCAACTGCCCAATCAGAATGCTTACAAATTTTACAACAATCTTTACGTTAATTTCGAGGTTAAAATAGCTTGCAAGAAAAATTGGGGTATTTTTTCTAATAGACCTTGAAATAAAAACTTTTACTTACCTTCTTTAAAACTTAAAAAAAAAATTATGAATTAAGATCTTGAAACAAAAATAAAAACAAAATTAAATAAAATCTTTAGTAGTTTTTCCTGATCAAGCGATATGCAAATGGACAGAAATTAAAGTGAATTGAAAAAATTGCTTGAAGATTAAGGGTTTAAACTTTCTTCAACAGTAGAGAACTTAAGAAATTATGTTCTGAGAAGCAACTTCAAATAGTTCAAATACATATATTACGAGAAAAAAATCTTGAAACAATAAACAAAAATTCTAGATACGAGTCTTCTTTAAACCCTATTTCATCAAGTTTTAATAGAATATTACAAAAAAATTAAAAAACACGATTATAAAAACAGTTGAATTTCTAAATATTGAAAAAATGTGTGAATTTGAAACTAAAATTTTAAAGTTTTGGTTGAAATTATACTAGCAATACGTGTTTTTATAAATTATTTAAATTACTAAATTGTAAAAGATACATTGTTGAATAAAATATACTAATTTGTCATTAATTAATTTATATGTTATGTAATAGATAAAACAGTGTGATTGAAATAGTACTTTTAGTTTAGGCAACCAGTATTACAACATTTTTTTTTTAATAAAAGCGTAATTCAGTACACTGTAAAAAGTATGTTGAAACAAAACGACAATTTATTATATATTCATTCAATTGTTGCGTTTTATGCATTGTTTTGAGTCTTTAGCACCTATAGAAATGTAAAAAACGTTAAATGGATCAATTTTAGAGTAAAAATTTTTTGGATTTTTGTTGAGATTTTGGTCGATTTTTGGCACCCGGAGCGGTCTATTGCCAATAATTCCGGACTTATTGGTAAAAACCTCTTATATTTGGTACCGTTGGAAAGATAATTTAATTTTCTAACATATACAATAAAGATTAGTGTTCTACGATAAATAGTTATTGAGAAAATTTCAAAAATATGGTATTTTATCTTACTTGAAATTTTTCTGTGGGGGCAAGTTCTGTTATACTTACGGCGAGGCTGATCTTGAAGATGCATTCGAGCTGGTGTCATTCGCATTACTTGAAACACTCGTTGTTAATTCTTTCGAAAATATGGGGATCTCGTTGTGGAGCAAATGGTCCAACAACTGGCCTTTCACTTGTGTTTCTTGCGTCAACTGTAATTCAATTAATTGTGTTTGTCAATTAAATAAGAGTTAATTACCTCAGTTAGTGTCGCTTCGCTTTCTTTTAATTTAGCGTCGCGTTGAGCCACAGCGTGGCTTTGACTCAAAGTCATATTGAATAGCTTCTGGATCAGGTATTTGGCTTCTTCTATATCACAAACTGAGTCGATGATGGTTTGAAAGTGGGCACTTTCGTTGGTATCTTGAGACTCTTCAATTTCCATAACGTTACGTTGGGTCTCACTAATCGTTTCTTGAACATAGTTAATATTTTCCTTGATGTCTTCAATATAACTGTCTAATTGAGTCACATCTTGGTTTTTTTGCACGGCTTGTTGGCGTCTCTCTTCCAAAACTTCGAGTTCCTTCCCTAAGGCTTCCCTTTTTTCGAGAAAATACTCCATTCGAACTTCCTGTTCTACAAGGCCTCGCCGACTCAACGCGATATTATTAATAGATTTCTCCACTCTCAGCCATTTCTGTTTAGCTGTTCTTTCCGAAAAACCAGCACGGAGCCGTCCCGCAGCCCTCGTACTCAAATGTCCCTTTTGATTCTTCCGCAAAACTGAGACTTCCTCTTGTTTGCGTTTCAAAACCTTGTCTTTGAGCCTCCGCTCAGCTTCCATTGTTTTAATCATATTGGCGTTTTTGCGCGTCTCTTTCCTCAACTGTGCAATCTCACGCATTCGTCTCAATTCCGATTCTTTGTGTTTCTGTGACTCCTCCTTCATCTTATTAATGAGTTTCACTTTAGTGCGTTTCATTTCAAGAAGTTCGTTTTTGTACGATTTGAGTTGGTTTTCGTGTTGGCTTTGGTTGCGCAAAAGTCGGGCATGTTCCTTCTGGGCAGCTTGGAGTTTCTTAAGTTCTTTCTGCATGTCGGAGAGTTTTTTCGTGTATTCATCTTTGATTTTCTTGATTTTGTCAGACGGCTCACGTGCGCTATACGTGTGCAAAATCTTGTCCCTCTCCTCTTGGGTGTCTTTAATTCGGGTTTGGAGTTGCATGAGTTTGTCTTCGTAATGTTGCCGCATTGTTTGCATCCTCCGATGTGACAACTCCAACTCATCGATCAATTTTTGTTTCATATCAATGTCATTCGTAAGTGTGATAAGTTCGTCTTTGAGTTGGGTGTGATCCTCCTTTTCGCTCCCGCTGTCAAACTCGTCGCTTTCCGCCTCGCTGTCGAGTTGTTTCTCCAGGAGGTTTTTCTCCCGTTCGAGCTCCTTCTTCGCCTCCTCAATCAAGGTTATATTTTCGTCGAGTTGTGCCAAAGTTGCGCTATGTTGTTGGGCGTTTTGCAACCGATTGAGTTGTTTGCGTAGTTGTTCGCACATGTTGGTCGACTCCATGAGTTTCACTCTGAGTTCTTCGATTTCTTTGAGGTAGGATTGGACCATGCAAGCGACGTCGTTGTCGCTACTACCGCCGATCCAAGCCCCGGTGGCTTTCTCGGCAAGGAGGTTTGTGTTTTTGAGGTTGAGAGAGTCGATGGTGTCTTGCATGGCTTTGACACGAGTCCGGAGATTGTTGACTTCGGTTTGGAGCATGTTGTTCTCGTAGAACATGTCGTTGACCATTTCAGTGCCGTCTTGACCGACTAGACGTTTCCCTTGTTTGTATTCGACTAGTTCTAGTTGGAGTTGGGCGATTTGTTGCTTGAGTTGGGATATTGTTTTTGATGTTTTGTCTTGATTCACGAAGACTTTGTTTTTGATATTGCGTGCCCTATTGGCGTATTTTAGTGTGTTTAAAGTTTCCATGAAGTCCCGATCACTGGGACTTACACAGGCTATCATCACAGTTTGACTATTACCACCAAGACTGTCTTGTAAAAGACGAGTTAGTTTTGAATCTCGGTAAGGGATATGTAGTGCCCGTTTCGATTTATCTCCTAATGCTGATATAACATTTCCTAAAGCTAATAGACCACAGTTTATTGATATTCCTTCTTTAGCTCTTTCACCCGTTGCACCAGTTCGTTTCAAACGTTCAGAACCGGCGAGATCGACAAAGTGAAATTTTGCAGTAAGCGTTTCAAATTCGTTTGTATCACTATCTTTTAAAGGCACGATTCGTTGTTGTTTTATATGTAAAGTGAAAATTGCATGTGATCGAGACGACTGGGTGTTCATTTGGGTGCTAGCTGTAGTCCGCGATAGAGCCCCCAGTCTTAAACACTGTAACGTTTCTTCAGCCGAAATTACATTTTTTTGTGTAATGCCCTTTATTTGAATACCACCGTACGAGTCTTCATGGATTTTGTAAACAGTATCCTGGAAATAATTTTTGATTTTTTACTACTGTCGTGGTTATTTCGAGTGACTTACTTTACCACTTGACGGGTTAAACAGATCGATAACTTCCTCATTATACAACTCCATAAATTGTGTCGTTACTTTAAATTCGGGTGGGATTTCGCCGTTTTCTTGAGCTTCATTAATCCGACTTTGGATACCATCGAAAAGATGATGGATAGCTCGAGGGATGATACCAACTTGTTCTGGTAATAACTCAACATCGAATCCCGATCCCATAGTGTAAGTTTTACCAGAACCCGTTTGACCATAAGCTAAGACTGTTGCGTTGTAACCTTCCAAGGAGGAATCAACCAATCCAGCAACACACGTTTCATAAACCCTCTCTTGACTAGTCTCCATGTCGAAAACATAATTGTACGAAAAAGTCTTATCATTCCCGAGAGTCACTTGGGGCTCCCCTGGCTGCACAAAAGTGCAAATCTGACACATGTCTATCACCTCTCTTGGTGTTTGCGGCCGAATCCTGAAAAATCGTGACAATGGCCAGTATTAATTACTAGTTTTTATTGACAATGACAATTCGTAATTTTTTAAACTTGACCCAATGACGTTTTATCCACTTTTTTGAGTCTTTAACACCTCTAGACATGTCAAAAACGTTAAATGGATCAATTTTAAAGTTGATTTTTTTTGTCGAGATTTTGTTCGATTTTTGGCACCCGGAACGGTTTATCGCCAAAAACTCCGGACTTATTGGTGATAACCTCTTATGTTTGGTACCGTTAGAAAGAAAATTTAATTTTCTATCATATACAAAAAAGATCAATGCTCTAAGATCGAGAAAATTCTGATGAAGTCAAAAATATCAAAAATATAAATCCGCTTATAACTTCAAAACTACCACGAATTTTGCAGTTTTCTTGACGCCAATCGATTCCCCGGAACATTTTACATATGCCTAGGTCAAAATATTATATCGATGAGATACAGTTTTTTGCAATTTACAAAATAAAAAAAAGTAAACATTTGTTAACACCCATTTTCTGATTTTTTGGTCAGAACGCTTCTAAAAAATTCGTAATTTTTAAAACTTGACCCAATAACGTTTTATGCAATTTTTCAAGTCCTTAGGACCTCTAGAAATGCAAAATCCGTTATATGAATCAGTTGAAGTTACAATTTTTTTTTGATTTTTGTCGAGATTTTGCTCAATTTTTGGCACCCGGAGCGGTCTATTGCCAATAACTCCGGACTTATTGGAGATAACCTCTTATGTTTAGTACCATTGGAAAGAAAATGTAATTTTCTATTATATACAAAAAAGATCAGTGTTCTACGATAAATAGTTATCGAGAAAATTTGTGATAAATTTAAAAATTTCAAAAATATAAATTCGACTATAACTTCAAAACTACTACGAATTTTGCAGTTTTCTGGACTCCAATCGATTCCCCAGAACATTTTACATAAGTTTAAGTCAAAATATTATATCATTAAGATACAGTTTTGGCAATTAACAAAATAAAAAAAGAAAACATTTGTTGACACCCCCATTAAAAAATAGTGTTTTTGAACATGTCTCAGATTCGATTTAAATCTGCCTTATCCGATAGATCTCCTCTAGTTTCGCTCTAAGTCTTATAGTTTGCCCATAATCGTCGTTCAAAAAGTAAAAATTTTCAAAATTGTCAAACTTTAAATGCATTTTTTACGAAACTATAAGACTTAGAGCAAAAAGCTAAAAACCATTAAAATCTACTTTAAATTATCTATGTAATGGCGCAAACTGGAAGTCGCTCCGGGTTATGGTTCCGGGTTCAGAGCCATTTTCATACAAATGTCATATCTCAAAAACTATGAGCCCTAGATCAAAACGGTTTGTAGAAGCGTATACTTCGGTTAATTTTACATACAGTACTAGTTTTTCATAAGAATCAAAAAAAAATAATATTTTGGTCAGAATCGGATATAGTGCTTATACTTATACAGGATGGTCCAAAGCCTGGAAACGATGTTATTCTGGCGAAACTATCAAATTTTTTGGCAAATAAATTTATAGGTGTGCAATGGCTATAAAAATGCTCTTCAAAAAAATTTTTGAATATTAATTATTTGTTTATACTTACGAGATAAACATAGTAACTTTTTTTTTAATAGAAACCTACAATTTTTTTTAGACAAGAATTGTTGCTGTGCAATTTTTTTTTTGTAAACCTCTCACTTTTTTCTTAAAAAATGTTTGACTTACAAGAATTAAAGAATTTGTGCCTTCTATACGGATGACGTGTTTTTTCACAGTGATATGAGTATGTTGTGAACGAACCACACTTTTTAACACGCCCGGCGAGGTGGTTTAACGCCAAAATCAAAAAAAAAAACAATTTAAGTTTAATAAAGTAGTGTTTGACTATTAAGTCGTTATGAATACAATTTTGTTTTTTTGTTTTTGTTCCATGGCGGTCTTTATTTATTTTCCAAATTCTTTAATTTAGAAAATAACCATAGAAGAAAATGTGAGAGAATAAAATTGACCGAGGTTTTTGAAATTACACGGACCTAAGATTTTGACTGCAATCAACTGTTTAACTAGAAAAATAATAGAAAAAGCACCATTTTGGATAAGTAAATGTGATCCAAAATGCTGAAGAATAAAATTGCTACAAGCAAGGACTTTTACTTTAAAAATGCTGATGCTAAGTAGCAGTTGCTTGTTTTATTTGCTTATTTTTATGAATATCACCCATTGAGATGCGACCTCACTCCAAGGTCGAAGAGTGTTGGCTTAAAAAAATTAAGGTGTTATCAAACAAATATTACAAAATTTCGATCAATAATCCCACATTAACAAAAATATTGATTCAACTAGTTCAAGGTTGCCATTGCAGAAAATAGCCTTCATTGGTGTTCAATGCATAAATATCATTCTTTGTGTAAGGTAATTAATAATTAGGTAACGTAACAAGAAGGCTAAACATAGCGCATTTATTTTTAAATGTTAGATGCGGGCAGTGGCGTCTCGTGAAAAAGGGCAATTTTTTCGGATCAATAAATGCAAATGAATGTGTGGCGACAAAAATTCAAGTTCTGTGAATAATCAAATTAGGCGGCGTGAAGCAAACACTTGATGGCTAAATATTATTTGAGATAACATTACGTAATCCGCGGTTTTAAATATTTGTCGAATAATTGAGGTGTGATAAACATTTTTCAAATTGGATTTTTTCCACCAAGTGGTGAAAGGTTCAATGACTCGACTAGATCAGTTCAATATTTCCTTATATGATTTTTTAATGAAGCGTCGGTTCTATCTTTACCTATGACGAGAACCATCAATTTATTATGACAAATAATGGTAAATACCATTGACGTATTAGGAATCCGGTATAATAATTGTCGCATTGTCATAAATTGCGTTGGTTGCGTTTTACGTGACTTTGTGCCACTCCGAGTGGAAAGAAATAAGACACCGTCAAGGGGGTCGCAGAGCTCCACTGACTCGTCATGCACATGTGCATTTTTAATATAATTAAAACCCAATCAGAGCCGTTCCATTTTTCAAAACCCACACTTTTTACGTAGAAACGAGTTACACCAACGCTGAACCTTCACAAATTTTGACAAGTTTTAGTGTCGTCGTCGTTGTTGCTTGACGCAATTATCGATTCAGACACCCTCCGGCATGCAATTATTGGGTGCCCCTCGTAATTATTTTCAAGGTGGAAACAATTAACACCATCTGTTTATTTGCAATATGAGATAATCCAATCGATGTGTTTAATTTGATGCAACGGAAGGGTGAATAAAGGGGAATATCCTGTTTCCGTTTCACGGCTAATATTTAACAATTATAAAGATCAAACGGAACGACAAGTTAATAGTTAAGTTTATGCTAATTTTTGGCATTTCGTAAGCCGTTCCGCTGTGTTATTTTGGGCCGTTGCCCTTTCATGCTATTAAAATTATCAACAAAAAAACAAACTTGCGTTATTCCACTACTGAAACAAAAGTAGCGCAATTTAAATTAAAGAAAACTGCATTTATCGATTCCTATTTACCATAAGTGTCATGTCATTTCATTGACAGCTGTCACATCTGTGTTGTGCTAAATGTACAAATTTAGTTTTAACCTCGAGGTTTATTGTTTGAGAATTAGTTACCTCTATACTATTTTATTATTTATTTAATTTATTTAACAATGCAAATTTTGACCTGCCCTCTTCCGGATACTAGACAAAGCTTTTTTTACATAAGAAATCCACAAAATTTTTACGGGAATACGTTTCAGATGAGGCGTGTATAAACCGAGACTTTTTTTCGACATGGAACTTCTATTTTCTCGCCAAAACGATAACATTCAGGAATTTCGTCAAATTCTAGTTTAATCGTTTATCCAAAAGACGCATTTGATAGTGAAATCGGTATCTTGTACCCTAAAAAAGGCCTCTTAAATACAGTTTCAGAACTCGCGCCCCATAGAAAAATGTCATGTAAAATACCAAGAACATATAAAAAATGTTTTAAAAAAATCGGAATTAAGGAGTTTAAATTTTGCACTTTGGCTCTATTTAATTCTGTTGGAAAAACAATTTTCCATGTTTTTTTGCTGCAGACTAATAGCAGAGGAAACAAGAAAGATGTGTGGCTGTACTAAATAATTATGAAAAAACATATACAACATTAACCAGACATAAAAAAATGTCAAATGTCATAAAATAAAAATTTTTAAACATTTTTTCCATGTTCCTGGTATCTTATCTTATTTGGAATTTTTTTCTTTTTCTGTAATTCTGCAATTATCAATCCCAAAATGTCAATTTTTCTATTATTGTGTAAAAAGGTTGTCCAAGGTCAATAGGGTTGTGTAAAATAAACAATTCAACCGGAATTACACGTGTTTCAGGAAAGTCATCTTCGGTCACTTGTTATATAATAAGAAAAGTCTCGGTAAATTTATCCTTAAAAATCAGCCAGGTGGTCTTTGAGGCTTTGTAAATAGGTGCACATTGAATGATTGTGTTGACTTATTGCCGTGTAATTTATGTTTTATGCAAAGCAGCTATAGTTAAAGTCACGCAAAGCCTCAAACACCCCCGAAGCTAATTAGTGACTTTTGCCTCAGTGAGAGATAAATAGCAGGAAATAAGGTACTAATTTCACAGACATAAAGCTAAATTTGTCGATCTAAAGATAGTCAAGGCAAAAACAAAGAATTTTTTTACCTGACAGCCACCCGTACTGTGACATCGTCATCATCCATCGTGGGTGGAAATGAACTAAAAATCACAAGTGTCCCACACCTGGCACTAAAATCACATGGGGATCGGATTGATCGGAAAGTGAAAGTTGTTACTTCCGAGCCTACAACAACGTTCAACGGTGCGGTACACAAGAGTGGCAGGGATTAGAATAGAAGAGAAGAATAATATCGTGTCGCTCCTTTCCATCTCCACCAAGGTAAATCGCATGCTGCCGACGCAGGACACCGCAGGACGAGCATTACCTGAGGCAATTTGAAAAAAACACAACTCACATCACACAAAACTTCAACTCATATCCCCAATTTATTATAGTATAGTATACAATTCAAAAATAGTACCAAAACGCATCCCTTAGTGACTAGACCAGACCGAACCCAAAAACCCTATAGTGTGATATATCATTGTTTCACTGACTAAATTTTAGTCTAGTGAGATATAGTTTAAGGTAACAAAGATACGCGTTTATCACACTATCGTAATCTAGTTCGTGGTTTATTTAAACTAAAAAACCAATCGATACACATCCAATGGTTTAGCCGTAGTGGAAACAACTGGAACTTCCAGTTCGTTCAGTATCGTCGCTTTTCGGCGGCAAAACAGGTGCTCAAAGAGACTATTCTATATGGAAAGAGCGGAAAGCAGGTACACAACAATGATCCCAATCAGAAACCTTTGTTTTCGTGATCTAATTGATAAGAAATGACAAAGTTCACTATACACGTACACGGTTCACAAATAACCGTGTTTCTGATTTTAACGAGTAAACTCACCCAAACTCGTAAAAAACATGCCAATTAACTAAATAAATAAAATAATTACGTATGTAACTGATGCAACTCGTGAAGCTGGCGTGTATAATGTGTTGCCTACATCACACGAACAACTTTTTTATTTGATTTTTTCAAAAAGATTTAATTGTGTTGTTTGTTTTATTATTGGAGTAATTTCAAATGTTATTTATTTTTAAACTACACGTTTTCTTTAAATTTATGACGCGACTGAGGTCACGTTACAAATGAATGAAAACTGGGTTAAGGACTTTTCAAGAAAAATATAGTTTTTCACACAAATAACAATTCGTGTCAGGGAAATGTAACATTAATTTGGAGAAGAGTATTATGACTGTTTGTGACGTTTAATTAGACTAGACAAAGCTTTATGTTAGTTACAAATAAATAAAGCACTGTTGTACTTAATTAAATTAATTTATTCAAAAACAATTTCGTAGCATTGAGACTGACGCGTTATTCTAGATAAGAAAGATCCTAATGCTAACTTAAATAAGATACAATTCCAAAGCAGGTAAAGCCTATAGGGTTTCATCCACGTTTCATTGGTTTCAGTATCAAGTATCTGATTTTCTATTCCAATAGTTAGTGTGTTTACAAGTTTGCGTTGGTGTTGATCGTTTCAAAACGAAAAATTGTTTTTAGAATAACTTGAAGATTTTGTCTGAGTGAATATGTCACTCGCGACTGAAACGACAAGATTGCTATCAGAACAAACAAAACCACAATACGCATTTGATACAAGTCTAGCACGGGAACGTAAAAGACGAGTTAAACAATTCCAATGTTGTTTATGCGTTATTTTTGTGTAAGTTTTAACGTACTAGAGTCCCACTATTGATTCCGAATTTTTTAGTTCTTGTCTTGTGATAGGATTTTTGGTTGCAATCGTTTGGGGTATCAATATAACGGAGAATAATTTCAGAAATGTCACAAATAATAGTTTACCCTCACCCCCAGACACACTTGCGACGTTACTTGCAATTTCCTGGCCACTTCGTGACAAAACAATAAATACGACTTTTTGCAATAATCAGAGTGAGTGGAATCAGGCCCTTGAAGCGGGCCAAAGGGCCTTAAATACGAAAAATCAAATTGAAAAAAATGTGACACAAGCTGCGTTAAATAGTCCGAGTTATAAACACCAGAAGGTTTTTTTGTTTTCAAATAAAACTCAAGTTTTGGCCAATTTGGGGTACATACAAGAGTCAGCAAGAAGGTTTTTCCCTATCAATGGTAGCAAAATTTGTAATCGAGCTAAACCGTGTTTCGAATCGCAGAAATGTAGCGATTTTGCGAAATTTCGCACTTATAATGGCAGTTGTAACAATTTAGTGCACCCCAATTTCGGGGTTGCCTTTCAACCATTTCGGCGTGCCCTCCCCCCGGACTACGCCGATGGGATTAGCAGCCCCCGAGGTAATGGAACACTACCATCAGCCCGAATCGTCAGTTTGGAAGTCCATCGGGCATTTTACAAAAACGATGATAAATTCACTGTGATGTTGGCCGTTTTTGGACAATTTCTAGATCACGACATGACAGCGACAGCCCCCAATCGGGGACCCAACGTCTCGACTATTGCTTGCTGTGGCCAAAAAATCACCCATCCGGAGTGCTTCCCAGTCACCCTAGCCCCATTTGACCCCTTAACCGAATTCAACCTAACTTGTATGGAGTTTGTACGTTCGGCACCTGCAAAGACTTGTTGTTTGGGGCCCAGGGAACAAATGAATCAAGTGACTGCGTTTATTGACGGATCGGTCATTTACGGGGTTGAGGAAAAGACAGTTGGGGCACTCCGGACTATGACAGGGGGCGAACTCGAAATGTATAACCGAACTTTGCTACCGGTTTCGAAGGATTTAACCGATGGGTGTAACCGACTTGAAGAGAGTCGGAAAGGGAGATATTGTTTCTTAACCGGTGACGCAAGAGCCAACGAAAATTTGCACTTGACTAGTATGCACTTGATTTGGGCTCGACAACATAATTTAATTGCTAGAAATTTAGCCCTCTTGAACCCTGACTGGGACGATGAGAGGTTATTTCAAGAGAGTCGGAAAATAATAGGGGCGCAAATGCAACACATCGCTTATCGAGAATTTCTCCCGATTCTTTTGGGTACTGTATTTGGTGGTGCTGTTTTTTATTCACAATCACTAATGTAATATGCCGATTACTAACCTTTTAAGTCTTGGGAAACACTTCATTAATATGCAGGTTGGCCAACGTTACGATTACAAAAATACCAAGATTTTTTTTTCAAACTGACAAGTTACGCATAATATTTTGCTAAATTAGTATTCAGTTGCTTCTGTAGCAGTTTTTCTTACTTCTGTGAGAGTGCACGACTCCATTTCAACAATTTTAATATCAGATTCACACATTATTTCATTTTTTTTTTGACATTTCTGAAATGTCAAAATCAATTTGGATGGCCTACTACGTTTAGACCTTAACTTTGTTCAAATTTTTGACTAAAAATAATGAGATTGTGAATATAATAGTATACAAACCTCGGTGGTAATGGCATTACATTACCTCTTGTGCTTATCTATACAGAGTGCGCCAGAACTCGTGCCCTAGAGAAAAATAAGATAAGATATCAGAAACATGGAAAAAAATGTTACCTATAAAAATTTCGAAGTTATGAGAGTTTAAATTTTATTTATTTCTGTTGGAAAAATAATTTTTCAAGTTTTTTTTGCTACAGGTTATTAGAAGAGGAAACAAGGAAGCCGTATCTTAAATTTAATGTTATTTGGTATCATTAGATAGACTTTAAAAAATGTCAAATGTCAAATTTTTTTGACAGATTGGTTTTAAACATTTTTTTCTATGTTCGTGGTATCTTATTTTATTTGAAATTTTTCTCTGGGGCGCCAATACATGAGCACTTGGGATAATGCCATATTTACCAGCTCGTTTGTAATGTAGTATTTACTTGAGTTGTTTCAGGGCCGGATTTGATGTCAAAATCTGACTTGAACCCACGAACTTCCGGTTATTTCAGTAAATACAACCCAGACTACGATCCTTCTATAGCCAACAATTTTGCAACAGCAGCATTCCGGTTCGCCCACTCCATTATCCCGGGTTTAATGAAATTTTTGGCAAAAGACTCGACTAGTCCCGAGTTCGTTCAATTGCACAAAATGTTGTTTGATCCGTTTCGGTTGTACCAAGCCGGGGGGCTGGATGAGGCCTTGCGAGGCGCCATGGACACCCCTATCCAAGCCAATGACCCCTACTTCAGTAGCGAAGTAAATGACACTTTTGCGAAAATTTAAATTCAACAGTGGTTTTAGCTCAAAGACAAGCTGTTTGAGGACGATTCGAATGAAAAAGTTCGCTCGTATGGCTTGGATTTGGTCTCTTTGAATATACAACGAGGCCGCGACCATGGATTAGTTGGCTATAACAGCTGGCGAGAGCATTGTGGATTAAGGAGAGTCTCCACGTTTGAACAACTTCAGGGGGACTTTGACGATGATTCACTCAGAAACATTCAGGCTATCTATAGGTAACAATAATTCAATTAAAACATGCTGTAGGCGGGACCCGCCTTACTCAATTTCGAATGGAAACACTTATCGCGATTTCAATGCAATTCTTATCACCCATTTCACCCAGTCAAAGTACGAAAATATCGCATTTTTTGTACTCCGATTCAGGTCAAACCTGGCAGATTTTTGGCTAGTTCAGTGAAATTGTCTCCCACTTTGTCGGGAGATTTTTAGGACAGTCATTCTACTCAAAAAAATTAATAAATTTGACATAAACAGAATTAATAAAAAGTAAATATTTCTCTGTTAACAAAACATCCCGTGCTTTTATATAAGGTGAACAAAAAGTATGTAACCATTTGCCTTCACAAAATAATGATTAATAAAAATTTGACCGTGTTTGGAGAAGGAAATTATTTGTTTTTCAGGTATGCGATTTTTTTTCAAAATGACAACTTGAGAAATTTTTTTTCGATAAAAATAGAATAAAATGTAATTCTTAAATCATTTGAAAAAATTGAAAATTTTCAAGGACACAAAAACAATTTTTTTTTATTCTTTTGGTTCCATACTTTCTAGAACGGGTGTCTGCGGAAGATAAAATGTCAAATGTCCCAATGAGAAATGTCAAAATAATTTTTATGTAAATTGACAGGAAACCGTGCTGAGCGATTTATACCAGGTGAATAAAAAGTATGGAACCAAGCGTTTTTTTCGTAAACTAAGCACTTTACAAAAAAAATAATTAGTGTTGCGTAAAGTTCAATTAAAATGTGATTATCAAGGATGACATTTTTCGAAATTTCTTTTAGTTTTCGAGTTCTGGAAAAAAAAATTTTTTTTTAATGACAACCCATCATGGTAATTTTTTAATTAAAGATTATGATCTAAAAATGACCTCTAATTAAACAGAATTGTTTTCTAGTCAGTACTTTTTTTTTAATAAATTGTTAAAGTTGCGTTCCGAGCCCATCACGAAGATTTTCCGAACTTGAACGAGGGAGTCGTTTCATGACTTTGGTCTTTGGAGAGCCCGGTTTTTGGTGCAGGTGCTTTGGGGTGGTTCCGGATGGATCAAAAAATGTAAAAACAAATCATTTTCTTCTATTTTTAGTCCATTCGAAACCACCCCAAAGCACCTGCATAGAAATCAGCGCTCTCCCATGATGAAAAGCATGAAACAACCACTTCGGTTAAGTTCGGAAAATCTTCGTGATGAGCTCGGAACGCAACTTTAACAATTAATTAAAAAAAAAGTACTGGCTAATGGCTAAAAAACAATTTTATTTAATTAGAGGTCATTTTTAGATCATAATCTTTAATTAAAAAAATTACCCTGGTGGGTTGCCATTAAAAAAAAAATTTTTTTTACAGAACTCGAAAACTAAAAGAAATTTCGAAAAATGTTATTCTTGATAAATGGTCACATTTTAATTGTACTTTACGCTACACTAATTATTTTTTTCGTAAAGTGCTTAGTTTACGACAAAAAAACCGCTTGGTTCCATACTTTTTATCACCTGGTATGAGTAAACACCAACATCTATCCTAAATTTTGAGACGTTTGAGAAATTCAATTTGCTTAGATCATTTTTTAATTTTTATAAAATAATTTTTTGACATCTAGCTAACATACGAAATGCCATGCGACATACGTCCTCAATTAGTGCGCCAACTTGTTTGACCAAAACACATTTTTGGAAAATTCTAACATTTTTCCAAAATGAGTTTTGTGACATTTTCAAGGTAAACGAGTATAAAATTTGAAAGAAAAGTAAAAAACACCGTCAATACAAACAATAAATAAGCACCAAAATGTGCTCATGCAACAAGATTATTTAAATAAGGTTCAAAAATAATAGAGCAACATAAAAACAACATTTTTTTATTGTTAAAAAATAAGTTTCAATACATATAACAAAACAAACTAAAATTGAATAAATTATGCCTAAAAAGTTGTGAAAAGTTGCTTTTTCCTCAACAATTTTCATGTCAAAATTTTCAAAAACTCAAAAACCAAAAAAAAAATACTTTTTTGGTTCCATACTTTCTAGAACGTGTGTCTACGGAAGATAAAATGTCAAATGTCCCAATGACAAATGAGAAATGTCAAAATATTTTTTATGTATTGACAGGAAACCGTGGTGAACGATTTATATGAGTCTCATTTTATGAGGTTTTGAGACGTTTGATAAAGAAATCCAACCTGCTTAGATAATTTTTTAATTTTTATAAAATAATTTTTTGACATAACATGCGAAATGTCATGCGACATACGTTCTCAACTAGTGCGCCTACTTGATAGAAAGACTTTTTGACCAAAATAAATTTTTGGAAAATTCTCACATTTTTTCAAAGTGGTTTGACCCCTTGTAACATTTTCAAGGCGAACGAATATAAAATTTGAAAGAAAAGTAAAAAACACTCAACACAAACTATAAAAAGGCACCAAAATGTGCTCATGCAACAAGATTATTGAAATAAGATTAAAAAATAACAGAGCAGAATAAAAAACAACAAAAATCTTTTTTATTGTTAAAAAATAAGTTCCAATATAAAATTAAGCCTAAAAAGTGTCAAAAGTAGTAAAAATTTTATTTTTTCTCAACAAAGTAGTAAAAATTTTCAAGAACTCAAAAACCAAAAAAAATTATTCTTTTGGTTCCATAATTTCTGGAACGTGTGTCTGCGGAAGATAAAACGTCAAATGTCCCAATGACAAATGTCAAAATATTTTTATGTAAATTGACAGGAAACCGTGGTGAACAATTTATATGAGTAAACAGCAACATCTCATTTTAGGTTTTGAGACGTTTGATAGAAAATTTCAATTTGCTTAGATAATTTTTTATTTTTATAAAATATTTTTTTTACATCTAGCTAACATACGAAATGCCATGCGACATACGTCCTCAATTAGTGCGCCAACTTGTTTGACCAAAACACATTTTTGGAAAATTCTAACATNTTTGACCAAAACACATTTTTGGAAAATTCTAACATTTTTCCAAAATGAGTTTGACCCCTTCTGACATTTTCAAGGTGAACGAGTATAAAATTTGAAAGAAAAGTAAAAAACACTGTCAACACAAACAACAAAAGGCATTAAAATGTGCGAAAAAAGAAAAAAAACGAAAAAGAAAATTATTTAAATAAGGTCCAAATATAGGAGAGCAGCATAAAAAAGAACAAAAATCTTTTTTATCAAGTTCCGGCAAGCAAAAATTGATTACATTAAGCCTACAACATAGCAAAACGTAGTAAAAAGCGCTTTTTCCTCAATAATTTTCTTGTAAAAGTTGTCAAAATAACGTAAAATTAAAAACGAACATGTTTTTTACCGAGTGGTAAACCGCCGAAGAAATTAGGTAACTCATGAAGAAATCTGAGCAAATAATTGGAAAATGTGCATGCACAAATGGTTTTGTTGGCAAATTAAAGGAGATCAAATCAAAAAAGGTGTACAAAATTTAGTTTCAAAAAAAAAACATTAGCCTGTATAAAATCAACAATTTTAATAAAATATTTTTTTGTTTTGTAGAGACGTGGAGGATGTGGACTTGTACACGGGGGCCTTGAGCGAGAAGCCCCTCAATGGGAGTATTTTGGGCCCGATTCTGACTTGTTTGATCCACGACCAATTCGTGCGAGTCAAATATGGGGACAGATTTTGGTACGAAAACCCCAACTGGTTCACTCTTGAGCAACTCAACGAAATTCGTAAAACATCCCTTGCACGTATTATTTGCGACAATTCGGACGAAGTCACCGAAGTGCAGCCTTTAGTAATGGAGAAAATCCGAAATGACAATAAACTGGTCCCTTGTAGCGCCCTTCCTGACCCCCAATGGGGCCCGTGGAAAGACACCCTGCACCGCGTTCGCACTTCCGATGATACAGTTTCAGTGAAATCAGTTAATTGATAGTTTGCACAATAAATAAAGTGTGTTTTTTTGGGTGTTGCAAACGTCATAATCACAAGGCGACAAAAAAAGTCATGTCGTGACAACTTGACAAATTTTATATCATTTTGTTCGTCTCACTAAATGCAGGGTTTTTCTTAGATTATTTCGATTTTTTTTTTATTGTTAAAAAATAACACTGTTCGAAGAAAAGTTTGCCAATATTCAATTCCAAATTTTATATCATTCTAAAGGGCAAGGCCATCCCTTTAGAATGGTCTTTATTTGAA